AAATTTTGGAGTGCCTTGCACATCACAATACTGTGCAAATATTAGCTATTATTATGAGATAGTATAAATTTAGGTTAAAGAACAGGAACTCTTAACCCAGACTGCCAGGATTCAAATCATGGCATTACAACTTACTAGTTATATTAAGTAGTTAGAACAGTACTTACTGGGATAGTCAGAGCTATAAGAGTGCCAGCTATGGTAATTATGACGTGGTGGGTAAGAATTACCCTTCTGACTGTTTTAAAGTCCTTTAAAAATCAAACGCTACTGCAATCAGTGAACAAACGTCTCTGAAAGTGCTGACTGTGAAGCTTATCTGCCAAATGCATCCTGGACTCTTGTTACGATACCGCAAACTTCAAAATGTAAGACTACAGGAACAATGTGTTGGCTATAAAAATCACATTATCTTTAAAGTATTACAATACACTCTGGTTTTATTCCTATATCATATCAGAAACACAGACACTATTACTCTCAAGTAGAAGCTGACCCAAATATCAGCCGAGGCACCTAATCTTACCACAAGAACTGCATTACAAATGTGCTGAAAAACTCGGCTTATACACAAGTACATATGGTATGTTTTTTAAGTACTAGACCCAAAATTGTATTCTTGTCAAAACAATATCACATCCTTTCCTGAGGAGCCCTGGTGGCACAGTGGTCAGCGCTGGGTTGCTACCAGTAAGGTCAGCAGTTTGAAACCACCAGCTACTCCTTAGGAGACAGCAGAGGTTGTCTACTTCCATAAAGGGCTCCGGTCTCAGACAGTCACATGGGCAGTTCTACATTGTCCTATGGGGTTGCTACGAGTCGGCACTGACTCGACGGCAGCGAGTCTGGTTTGCTTTGGTTCTCATCCTTTCTTGCTCCACATGCCACTACCCATTGGGCCACTAACAGCAAGGTCAGCCATTCAAAACCACCAGGCCCTGTGAGAGAATTAGTTTCAGAAACCCACTGGGGCAGTTCCACCCTGCCCTACTGGGTCGCTATGTGTCTAATCAACTCGATGGCAGTAAGATGTTTTGGAATTGGTCCAAATTTGACTTGGGGTCATGTGGCGTTGATTATAAATATATGCATATTTTAAACTTATCATATAATGCTACAGTCCTCTCTCTAAGCCTGCTTTCTTTCTTGCACATTCTTAGCCTGGATAAGATAAAGAACCCCAAAGGCCTAGGACACTAAAATACCATACCTGGATGTCACTATTCTCCGAAGGAATGACAATGCTTTCTGCAAGAGGTAACATGCACATAGGCGAGTTTTCCATACTGAAGGCGATTCCACTCATAAACTCAGCCACAGGGAGACTCCGACTATGAACCGCCTCCTCGGCTGTGTCCACGGGATCAGCCATATGCACGGTGTTATTCTCTGCCTCCCCCTCGACATCCTGCAAGAGCGCCAGGTCTTTCTCAGAGGCGCTGGCCTGACTCTGCGTGAGAGACATGGCCGTCACCACTAAATGTGTGCCGTGTGGAAAAGCACCGCCGTCCACCTGCTGCCGCTGCACCCCGGCGGCAGCATCTGCGGCTGCTATCGAGATGTCAACGGGAGGCGTATTCTCTTTCTCTTCTTCGCCTTCGCTGTGAGTCTCAAGGGCAAAAGGAATCCGAATCAGCGAGGCCCGATACTGAGCACCACGGCCACACATCTCCAGTCTCATGGGAGACCAGCTTTGAACTGAAGAGCGGCCGTCTCTATAAGGACTTCCCACGCGCGGATGAGTAATCCCACGAGGAGTTGGTCCAGATGAAGCATCCGGAGAAGGAAAAGCAAACTTCCTTTGTTCTAAAAGATTGGGAGGGAGGAAAATCAGCCCTTCAAGACCATGATAATGGAAAAAGCCCTTACTGCATAGCCTCCATGTTTCATGACAGAAAACCCTCCTGGATTTCTCTAACACTTGGGTTGTTTACTCAAGTCAGCTGTTACAAAAATAATGACAGATGAGAGATGTGTTTCAATGATCAGGGTAAGGTTCCTTCTAAACGCAACTGCTCTGCATCTTCCTCCTCTAAATTAAGCACAGTACTTCACTCCTAGAGGATCATTTCCTTATGTGCATAACATACTGTTCATCTAACAAGCAAGATCCCTAGCAATCTTCTGAAAGCTACAACTTAATAGCAGAACCTGCTAGGTGTAATATACAAAAATCTATGTGGATGTTACTGTCAAATACTGTAGGCATCATTTAAAGGCAAATGAAGAATTGGAATACAGCATCTGCAACCATGAGGAACTTAACAACGACAGATCAATCCATTTTTACAACTTTAATTAAAGTTTTAAAGAATGGGCAGCGGCAAGGTGATCCTTCCAATGGTAAATAAACATAAATAAAATTCAGCTTCCACAGATAATTTTTTTCAAAACAGAAAAAAATTAAAGCCAAGAGTGACTATATGTTTAACCAAAAAAAAAGGAAGCTGCAACTGACAATCTTCTCTAAAAAAACAAAGGGCCAACAAACAATAAGTAGTTGAATATCATTAATGATCAAATTATGAACATTAAAGCAACGAGTCCTTTGGATAATGTGCCAAATAAACATTAAGCCAAATGACAAAAATTTCAATTGATACAATCTTTTATAAAAAACTTTAAAAAAAACAAAAACTTTAGCAAATTCATCAAAAGTCTTAAAGCCTTCACTCCGTAATTCTACTATGTATATAAAATAGAATGTATATATAATGACAACCATTAGTTTTGAGACAAAATTTAAATATGTATTAATAGCTAAAAACAAATGATACAACATGAAATGGGACGTAATAATTCTTCTAGATCATATTTTAAGACTAACTGGCTAAATGAAGTAGGCAAACATTCATTATAATATTCATAATTCTTTATGAAAAACGATATTGAAGTATGTACAATGAGCACATGTGCAAACCTACACATATTGTATGCAGGCATTATGTACACATAATCTCCAAATAATAAGTTACCAGAAAAACATAATTTTACAATTTCCAAATTATTTTACTATAAATAGGCTTCTTCATTGTAAAGTTTTCAAAAAATGCTAGACTTTTATAAAAAAGAAAATATGCATATATAAAAATATTAATATATACACTATGCAAATTTACCTTAAAAACATTACGCACTTACACTTTCCTAAAATAGAAATATCGCGTTACTAAGGTTACAGGCAAGAAGGCACACGAAAGACAACTTCCCTCCAACGCTGTCCTATAGCTTTATTTGGTGTACTGCTAATCAAGCTGTCGTTAGTCCTCGGGAAGGACTTTGTTAGCATGCCATACTTTGAAGGAAAACTTTTTAATTAAATCAGTGTTCCTGAATTTTATAAATTTAGTGGTTATTTAGAGATCGAAGGTTAAAACAAGATGAAGGGGTGCTATTTTAATAAGTGAATATGGATAGCACAACAAATTGAATAATGTCTTTCGAGACATACCTGAGAGTGGTACCTTTCCTATTTGAAATGCAATTGGTGACAATGTGGGTGAGGAAATAGGGGAATGACTCGCTATGCTTCCCAGGCTGTATTTTTTCACATTATCCTGAATTGGGCTAGAAGAAAACTGCCCCTATGATTAAAGACAAGAGAAAAACAAACATAAATGCATGCATACCTAAGATCATGTGGTTTGCTTCCTTTCATTGTTAGACTGCACAATCCTTTCCTAAAACTTTATAAAACACACTTACACACCAGGAATCACTCAAAAGAACAATCCAAAGGCATCCAGTAACAAAGACCATTAAGAAGAGTGCTATTAAGATTCTGAAATAGAGTGTGAGTCAACATACAAATGCACTATGTTCAAATAAGCCATGTAAGCTTTCTACTAACAGCTGTTGATGAAAAAGTTCTGCATAAAGAAGAAAAACTTTAAATAATCACTTATTCCATGGCCATATTACTGAGGATTTAGTTATGTGATTCTGAGAATCTGAAAAAAATGCAGTAAAGATAAATTTGTTCATCCTATATACCGTATATACTCGAATATAAGCCGACCCGATTATAAGCTGAGGTACCTAATTTTACCAGAAAAACAACATTAAAAAGGCGCTGAAAAACTCAGCTCATACACTAATATATATGGTACCTTTTAAATACTAAACAGGAGAGTCTAAACAAAAACATTCCGATGAATAGTGACCAAATGTGAATAGGCTAATTCTCATGAAACACAGAGGGCAAAAGACTCATACAGTACATGCAGTCCGGCCAGCTATCTATATCCAAGTCTGCCCACAAGTAAACGAATCAGGACCTTCCAGAACATTTCGTTTTGGTTTTCTTTTTAAAATCATTTTATTGGGAGCTTGTACATCTCTTATCACAATCCATCCATCCATCCATTGTGTCAAGCAAATTTGTACATTTGTTGCTATCACCAATCTCAAAACATTTGCTTTTTATTTGAGCTCTTGGTATCAGCTCATTTCCCCCCCCTCTCTCCTTGCCCCCACTTCCTCAGGAACCCTTGATAATTTATAAATTATTATTATTTTGTCATGTCTTACACTGTCTGATGTCTCCCTTCACCCACTTCTCTGTTGTCCGTTCCCCAGGGAGGGGGTTATATGTAGGTCCTTGTGATCAGTTCCCCCTTTCGACCCCTACCTTCTGCTTACCCTCCTGGTATCGTTACTCTCATCATTGTTCCTGGGGGGTTTATCTGTCCTGGATTCCCTGTGTTCCCAGCTCTTATCTGTACACACGTACATTCTCTGGTCTAGCCAGATGTGTAAGGTAGAATTGGGATCATAATAGTGGGGGGTAGGAAGCATTAAAGAACTAGAGGAAAGTTGTATGTTTCATCAGTGCTGTATTACACCCTGACTGGTGCATCTCCTCCCCATGACCCTTCTGTAAGGGGATGTCTATTGTTTACAGATGGGCATTGGGTATCCAATCCATGTTGTCCCCCCTCCCCCCACCACCCCCATTCACCTTGGGTATTTTGGGTATGGTTTTATCCTGAGTCTTAAGATGCTTGATACCTGATCCCATCAACACCTCGTGATCACACAGGCTGGTGTGCTTCTTCCATGTGGGCTTTGTTGCCTCTCAATTAAATGGCCTCTTGTTTATATTCAACCCTTTAAGACCCCAGATGATACATCTTTTGGTAGCCGGACACCATCAGCTTCCTTCACCACATTTGCTTATGCACGTTCTTTGTCTACAGTTATCTTGTCAGGAAGGTGAGCATCATGGAATGCCAGTTTAATAGAACAAAGTATTCTTGCATTGAGGGAGTACTTGAGTAGAGGCCCAATGTCTATCTGCTACCTTAATACTAAACCTATAAAAATGTGGACATAGATGTATTTCCTTCTGGAACATTTCTTACCGAACTTGGTGTTTGGGCAGGGCTCTTACATCGTACAGGAGATAAATCTATTGAATAGAAAACCTCAAGTGATGCCTGGGCGCCACCATGAGAACTTCGCGGAGAAGCTGGAGATGAGTCAGACATACTTCCATTTCCATCTAAGAACAGCTTTCTTCTGAGAGATGAAGAGCTGAGGTTCCCGGGAGACTGGTCTGGATAGTCATCAGCTCTGAAATAGTCACCTGAATGAAATGTAAGCAGGATGACAGGTACAGCTCACTGTCCTCGAAAGTAATCACACTGCTATAAAAAGCAAATAAATTTCTATGTTCTGTGTTTGAATTTCTTACATGGCAAAGGTTACCTGCCTGTGTGATGATCTTAAAAACATTCCTTCTCTTTAAATGTCATGTTTACCAGGTTATGGACCAAAAAACAAACAAACATGCATTCCTTCTCTTTGGAGCGTTTCCTTATTAGTATAGGTCATAGGTTCCCAAACCTCTGGCCTCCCTCATGGCCATCACCGAGATGTGAACTCAGAGTGACTCCATAGGACAGGGTACCTGTGTACTTTCAAGACTGGATCTCTTTAGAGGAGTAGAAAGCTTTGGCTTACTCCCGAGGAGCAGATGGTGGTTTTGAACTGCTGACCTTGCAGTTAGCAGCCCAACTAGTACCCACTATGCCACCAGGACTCCTCCACCACTCCCTTTTCAGAGGAAAAAAAAAAAAATCCTCAGCACCGTCCTGGCAATTAAAAACCCTTGTACACTTTAAACTTAATTTTCCCCTTTCGTAACATACTGTATTAATTACTTAAGGTCTTGTCTACATGGGTTTGATTATAGAAACTAATATTCTCTAAATAATTTAAAATAAAAACTCTTATGCTACAGCTTAAAGGTCAAGCTAAAATGTAGGTGTCCGCAGTTACAGCCCCCACTCCCTTCTGGATCATTCCAGCTCCTACCCAGGGGCAGCACTATCCACGTGGGAAGCACTGATAAAGGTGATACCTTTAGATGTATCCCATGAACAGTTTTAACAGTAAAGTTAGTTACAATAGAAAGCAAACTTAGGCCATGTTAAAGAAATGAAGACATTTCCCCCATTTCCTCAGAAAGAACTATTACTGCAAATTCCAACTACAAACAGCCGACAAAACAAAACCTTCTATTTCAGTTATGGAAAGTTGCAACAAACACAAGATTTACCGAGTATATTTTCTAGGTTAAAGTCCACAGGAAGGGAAAGCAGTGTCTGACAGGCAGCTGGAAGAAAACAAATACAATCAATGAATGTACGCTGCATACAATTCCTCATGTGCTGTACAATCTCCCATCCCACCTCCAGCCAAACAATTATTTCATCTCCATATTCTATTACTGCACCTTGCCGCCTTCCTATAAACAGCCTGCTAATGATAAGAAGCACCACCTGGCTGTGGGGTTGTAGGACTCCTGCTGGCATAGTGGTTACAAGTTGGGCTGCAAACCACCGAGGCCAGCAGTTCAAAACTACGACATGCTCTGCAGGAGAAAGATGCTTTATGCCCATAAAGAAACCCACAGACGCAATCCTGTGAAATCCTACAGGGTGGCCACATGCCAGAATCCACCTGATGGCAATGAGTGCGTGTGAGATGGGGGCTGGGATAAAATTTAAAAAGATTCCAGCCTATATTTGGGGATAGATATGTCAGTATACTACTTTTCTCGAGATTACCTTCCAGGAGCAATAATTATTTTATGTGCTTTGAACAAGGAAACAACACACTTCTGGGTTTCTGAAGCATGGCTGGGTATATCTACGCTAATACACTTGTCTGTAAAAGCCATAGTTAGACAGCTCATTCATACAAAGTAAATGATTATGATTCCAGAATTTCACCATGCCTGAATTAAAAAAAAAAAAAAGTTGCTTACATAATGGGGCACATATAACGCTATAGACTGAATTCATACCCACCATGGTTTTTCTCAGAATGAACGGTCAACTTTCCTCCAATTGGAGATTCACTACTTATGTTTACACCTGGAAAAGATTTTAAATGAAAAACCTTAGACTTATATATTCTTACATTATTTTAGGATTACTTTTTCCAGAGTAAAAAAATAAATGAAAAGGAAACATTTCACTTAAAAGATTTAAAACATATATGTCTATGCATATAAATATATATTTTGGCATGTTTCTGTCAGGTTCTCTTGGCTTAAAACTAGAATAATTACTATAGTAAAGAAAAGTAAAGCACCAAATTGATCAGGGTGATGACTGCACAATTCTTATGGGACTGAATGATTAAATTAGATGATATGTGAAGTATATGCCAATAAAACTATTAAAAACAAACAAATAAAAACCACAAAGCACCAAGCCCATTACCGCTGAGAAAACTGCAATTCACATGGTGACCCTAGAGCAAAGAAATGAACTACCCTATGGGTTTCCAAGGCTGTAAATCTTCATGAGTGCAGACTGCCACATCTTGCTCCTGCAGAGTGGCTACTGGATTTAAATCACCTGCCTTTCAATTGACAGCAGAGAGCTTAACCAATGCATCACCAGGGCACCTGACTTGGGTGTGGGTGATAAAGCGGGAATTGGAATACCGTATATACTTGTGTATAAGCCAAACCGAGTATCAGTCAGTTCTACCACAAAAACTAATTTTACCACAAAAACTGCATTAAAAATGTGCCAAAACACTCAGCTTATAGCATATACAGTAATTAAGAATCAATCAAGGTTAAAATATATTTGAAACTAAAAAGAAAAAAAAACAAGTAACAGGAGAAAAAAGGAAAATCATTTCCTATGTGTGCGATGGGTAAAGTTATGCACTGTCAAGTACATGGATTCTGGATTCAGACAGCCAAGTTCAAATCTTGGCTCTGTCACCTTTTAGCTATGTGACCTTCCCTACTACCAAAAAAACCCCCCCAAAAACAGAACAGCTGTAACTCACTTTATTGTGACATTCATGGCATAGAACCACAATTACCTGAGGTATGATTGTACTTGCCATATAAGTAAATGCTTAATCCATGTTAACCATTTTGTTCTACTTGATAACAAATTAAGCAAACACGCCCTCATATATGAAAAGAAAAGTCAATGCATGCTACGTACAAGAATAGATACTTCTGTGCAATAAGGGAGTTAAATAAGTAATTTTTGAACACGGCTCACAAAACAGAGGGCATTGAGAGGATACATTACGTAACTATTCTTGGAGGTAGAAAAATATCTGAAAGACTACTGACTTGACTTGTAATTAATATACAAGATAATCAGCTATATTACACTGCACAAGAGGTCCTTTAGTAGTTGAAAAGCATGGTCTTGGTGATGAAAATGAAGCTAGAGATCATATAATAGAATTCTGCAAGACTTCATCATTGCAAATAGCTTTCTTCAACAACATAAATGGCACGTGTACACGGGGACCTCCCCAGATGAAATACACACGAATCAAATTGCATACATTTGTGGACAGAAACCAGAAGAAGCTCAGTATCATCAGGCAAAACGTGGACAGGGGGCTGGGAAATAGACCATGAAATGTTCCTTCACATGCAAGTTCTGGTTGAAGCTGAAGGAAATTAAACAAGTCCAGGAGAACCAAAATTCAACCTTGAGTCTATCCCACCTGAATTTTGAGAACATCTCAAAAACAGATCTGACACGCTGAACATTAATGACAGAAGACTTGATGAGATGTGGAAGGACATCAAGAGCACCCCACACGAAGAAAGCAAAAGGTTATTGAAGACAAGGAAAAGCACCATCAGTGGATGTAAGAGAGCAGTTACACATAGAGCAGTTAAAGCAAATAGACGACAGAAAATTTCACATGCCAGCTAAGAAAGTGAAGTATTATAATAAATCATGAAAAAACGTGGAGGTCGAGAGTCAAAAGGGAAGAACACCCAGCATTCAAGCTGAAAGAACTGAAGGAAAAAAAATTAGACCTTAAGTTTCAGTGCTGAAGGGTATCACGGGCAAAATAGTGTCTAATGCAGGGTGTATGAAAAGAAAATGGAACACAGTCAGTGTACCAAAAACTGACCGATGGTCAATGTTTCAAGATATAGCATATAGATGTAGCCAGTAGAAAAAACAAGAAAAGAGCCAGTGGTAGTGAAGGAAGAAGTCTAAGCTGTCCTGAAGGCACAAACAAGGCTCCTGGAATTGTGGATTACTAATTGAAACGGTGCAACAAGCTGATGAAGCACTGGAAGCACTCACTAATCTGTCAAGAAATCTGGAAGACAGCTACTTGGCCAACTGACTGAAAGAGTTGTACCTATTCCAATGAAATACTTGTACCTATTCCAATGAAAAGCAACCCAACAGAATGCAGAAATTATCTAATGATATCATTACATAATCATATACGGGAAATTTTGCTGAAGATAATACACCAACGGCCACAGCAGTGCAAGGAGCTGTCAGAAATTCAAGCTGAATTCAGAATAAGACCTGCAGAGAGGTATCACTGCTGACATTTGATGGATCTTGGCTGAAAGCAGAGATTACCGGAAAGAAGTATTCCTGCACTTTATTAACCATGCCGAGGCGTTCAACTATGTGGATCATAACAAACTACAGATAACTCAGTAAAGAATGGGAATTCCAGAATACTTCATTGTGCTGATGCAAAATCTGTCAACAGACCAAGGAGAGGCCATTCTAACAGAACCAGGGAATAGCGCACAGTTTAAAATCAGTTAAGGTGTGTACCTGTGTGCTGAGCAAATAATCCAAGAAGCTGGAACCTGACTTGAGGCTCGCGGAACTCTGTAACAATCTGCAGTAGGCAGATGGCCCGCCTCTGCTTGCTGAAAGCTTGAGGGCTTGAGGACTTGCTGATGAAAATCAGAGAAATCCTTCAGCATGGATTGCACTTTAACACCAAGAAATAAATAGTCCTCTCCACTGGACCAACAGAGAACAGCTGATAAACACAGAAAGGACTGAAGTTTTCAAAGACTTCATTTGACTTGGGTCCGCCTTCAATGCTCATGGAAGCAGGAAGCAAGAGATCAAATGATCGGCAGTGGGCGAACCTGCTGCACGAGCCCTCCTTTAAAGTTGTGAAGAACACAGATGTCACCTGAGGATTAGGGTGCACATGGACTGCGCTATGGTGTTTTCAATCAGGTCATAGCACGGGAACGCTGGACCATGAATAAGGAAGACCACAGAGCAATGGACGCATTTGAATTAGTGTTAGCGAAGAATACTGAAAGTACCAGACTACCAGAAGAACAAATAAACCTGTCTTGGAAGAAGTACAATCAGAATGCTCCTTACAGACAAGGGTGGCGAGACTCAGTCTTACTCACTTTGAACATGTTCTCAGGAGAAACTTGTTCCCCCAAAGGACATCATGCATATAAAGTAGAAGGCAGTCAAAAGGAGGAAGCGATGGACTGATACAGTGACTGCAACAATGAGCTCCGATGTAGCAACCATTATGAGGATGCCCCAGGGGCAGGCAGTGTCTTGTTCTGTTGTGTGTTGGGCTGAGTTGGCACTGACTCAACAGCACCTAACAAGAGAGGTCATTTACGTCTTTATCCTACACGCCATCATTATTAGAAATCAGCAACTTAACAAACACACGAAGCAAATGAAGGATTTTATTAGAAAAAAGTATTAATCTGCAAAAATCATTATTAATTCACCTCTACATTCAACACTAGTTTTGTATGTATGGATTCAGGAAATGGTCATAAACATAAATTTAAATTTAGACTAGAATGACCCAAAACAGAATTTGGCATGTTTTGTTGTTTTAATCCTACTTTCTAAATTAAATCCTGTCATCCAGCAATGCTGTAAATGACAGCAAACGCCTTATCAAAGCAGACAACTGAAATTCACTCTAAGACCGGGCTTCTGAAATTTCCTTTAGATACCTGGATTAAAAGAATGAAACTTTCCCATGAGCTTTTTGAAGTTCCTCTCATGTGTTGCTTTATACATATTTATATTTGTCCTTATGATCCTTATAGTCTGCATAAAGCCATTTTATTTCTACATTTTTTTTGTTTTCAAATATTAATCTTCCCAAAAAACATCAGCACATTTAGTATGCATGGAAACTTAAAAGTTCTGGTGCATAAAATGGGAAAAATAATCATACAGTAAAAAACCTTCAGCTGTGACAAACACTTTACCGTAGAGCTAATGTGCAGTAAGAAAACCACTCCAGTGCTGGAGTCATTTTGCTGTACAAGAAGCATTGAACGTGCTGCTGATGAGTTAAAAGGAGCCATTCAAAGCCCATGGTTAAGCAGGAGCCAAGCTAAATGAGAAACTCCCTGTTTCCAGTCTAGGGAGGAATCTGCAAGGCCAACATTCTGGTTCAAAGCCTTTGAATGAAAACTGGAGTAACTCACATTTGCTGGAATGATGCTGTGCCAGCTGCTTTCCTTGATCCGTCCATGGAGAGGGCACAATGGCGTCTTTGGTGAAAAACTAAAAAAAAATCAAAGTCATAAAATTGGGCATAAATTCCCCACCACATAAATCATTACAGGCACCATCATTTATTTTCATTTGATCATTTTAAACATGTCATAAGCTGATTTTATAGCTGTACTTAAAGAATTTTAATTCTCAAAAGCACAACTAAAATTGAAGCAGAAGGAATTTAAAAGTACATGCAAAGAGAAATCTTACTACTACAAGCTAACCACTTAAAACTGAATCTCGGAAGTTAAGCAAAAAGGCATTAAACTTAGAGAACATAACATACTTTTAACTCCTCTTTCCAACAAATTTTTGAACAACAGAGAGGGAAGGAAGAAATCAAAAGCCATAAAGACTCATAAATTCTTCACTTGCTATTTACTTTACCATTTTATCATATTTTAAGATGTGTGCTCTTTAGGTCAATTATTTTTTTATATCTATATGGGTCAGCTTCTGTATTCCGTAGTATGCCATTATAGATTTCTTCCTCTTCAGTGATGTCACATCAGTAGCTTGAAACTGGCATTCACTGATGAACTGAGCCACAGAAAGTAACACTCATTATAAACCTCGTTTTTTCAACTCCATAATCAGAGAGCCAATTGTTTTAACAGTTACAGCACTCCACTGGCCAAAGATGGATCATTTGGATACTTTCTCTTTCATTCCAGATAAAATCAATCAGACTATACTTTGTCTTCCCTATGTTTTGAGGCAGTTGAAAAATTTTTCTTTATATTGTTACACCTATAAAAAGGCTGAATTTCCCTACTTAGACATTTAAGAATTTATGAGGAAAGATTTTAAGGAAAGAAAAATGGGCAAGATGATAATACAGACAATTATGGGGGGTGAGAGTGGGGGCACATAAACATAAAATGATGTATAAACTCAAAACTAAATTCAAATGCAAATAATGATATCATTTTACTATAATAAAAAGTAAAAATTAAGAAATTTGGTAATAAGCCAGGAGTATAAATTTGGAAGTTGCTTTTGGGGAGTGTAATAGGGCAAAACTTCCCCAAAATTATAATTTACAAAGTCTTTGCCTCAGCAATCCTATTTCAAATACACAAAGATGTATGTTCAAGTATACTCACTGCAGCACGGTGATAGAAAACCAAATAGAATCTAGAAGTCTATCAATAGGGCCTGGGTAAACAAAACAAAAATAAAATTCCCTGCCGTGGTGTCAATTTTGACTCAGAGTGACCCCTCTAGGACAGGACAGAACTGCCCCTGTTGGTTTCCAAGACTGTAACTCTTTATGGAAGTAGAAAGCCTCATCACTCTCCCACAGAGCAGTTGCTGGTTTCAAACTGCTAACCTTGAGGTAACCAGCCTGATAAGTAACCACTATACTACCAGGGGTCCTCAGTGCCTCAGTTACGTTACAATAAATACATAGACTTGACTATCATAGTATTTTAAAAAGCAGCAGGTGTTAATTAAAAAAAATTATTCAGATGAAAAGCAAGGTATAAAACATAAGAATAATGATCCTATCGGCCTAAAATATTTAAAAGACTTTCAAACTCAAAATTCATTGCCATCAGATGACAACTCATAGCGACCCCATAGGACAGGCCAGAATGGCCCCTGTGGGTTTCCAACACTGGAACTCTTTACGGACCTAGAATGCCTTGTCATTCTCCTGTGGAGCAGCTAGGGGTTTCAAACAGTTGACCTTTCAGCTAGCAGCCCACCACACCACGAAATTTATGCTCGTTACCTCTTCAGGAAGTAAAGAGCAAGCAAACGAGGAAGAAAATGGCTTACCATTTTTGTTTCAAATCTTTCTCTTTGAATTTGTTTGCTTTTATTATGTGCAGGATTATGTGTGGTGTTTATTACTTCCAGTTTCAAAAATATAAAAGGAAATTATTTGTCCATGTACAGTAATCCAAATCTTTACTCTGACTTCATTTTCCTAAATTCAGCCTTTTGAGTTTCCCTTTAAAGTCGAAAATTCCAAAGAAAAAGCATAGTGTCCAACATGCTAGGAAACGGGAGAATCTAAGTATATTCAAGCAGGGAAGAATTATGTCATCGAATCAGAACGAAAATTTTGTAGTTACTGGACCAAAGAAATAGATAATGTGTCACGTGAAGCCAATGGAGGTGTGCTCTCTGAACCAGGCTCCATCTGAATGCGGAGACATCAACCAAACTAGAAAAACAAGTGCACGAGCAACCCAGGCAACATGTGATCTGCACACGTCACAACGGAAGTCTGTCTACCTAAGAACGTGGGGACCAGAGAGACAAAGTAAGAAAAATAAGAAAGGTAGCACATGAATACTTTCTGAGGAAAGAGAGAAATAACCTTTATATGCTAAACGAAGGAGCTCAGTAAACAAAGCGCAAAACTCCATTCATGGTTTTCAGCAGGCAAAGAAACAAAACTACATTTGCAAGATATTTTTTTCTGGCTAGCAGTTAAGACATTTTGTCTTATGAAATATGCTATCTTACAAATCCAAAGTCACAACACCACCAACAAAGGAAAAACCGCTGCCAATGCCCATCCAGACTCCTCAACTGGAACTACTGACCTTGCTCTCCCGTCGGTGCTTCCCTGTGATGGGGAGCATGCTGAAACGAGCCCGGGCAGCTGCAAAAGCAGTCTAGATGAGGAGCCCTATTACAAGTGTTTCATTGCCTGGTGGGGCCACAAGTAAACCCCCACCCACCCCCAGCACACCCCCAAAAGAAGCTATGCTCTATATAAACTCAACCTGAAAGGATTTGGGGCTAATCAGTATTCCTGAATGCACAAAGAAGCCTACATTTGGTCTGAGAAAGAAAGAAAGGTGACTGAGGCACATTACTGACCAAAACGGAATAGTTCAGAAGAGAGGAGACGATCAGAATGGTAATTGTTTGGAGAACACTGGCTTGTGGGAGCACTGGGGGGGCAGGTTGCTAGGAAATGGCACAGTGAGTGATTTGAAGGAAGTCTTCCAGGGAGACAATACGCATGCAGTATTGAAGTTTTACTCGTTTAATGATCAGTAACAGTTTTAAGTTACCTCTTCAATGGCTTTTTGTCTTTTGTCTTCCACATCTTTATCTATTCTATATAGCGATAAAGAAGAAAGAGAACCATGCCATTACTTTAGTTTACTGAACATTTAAAATAATAATCTTTCAAAGGAATACTTTTCTTCAGTTGGAAACATACAAATGTTAAGCTCACTTCAGTACAAAAAGCGGTACCTTAGAACATTTAATATTGTGAAATTCAACATTCTATCTCCCCCTTTTCCATTCAAAATTGGAATGGATTAACATTTTAATTGCCTTCTGTTAATATTGTCTTAAAATTATTCTTTACAATATAAAGAACTCTGAATAGACTTTATATTTTAATTCACTACAGATTAAGTTACTGTTTCCATAGAAATCTAAAAATTGCCCAAATTCTCTCTCTACTTTAGAGCAAGTTTATCATAGCAAGACAATTAAGATCAACTCTTCTTTGAAACAGAATGTCTTTCCTTACAGTTTCTGAATAAACAACAGAAAACTGTTAATTGTTAAGTTAAACAACAGATTATAAAATTTGATTCAAATGAAATTTTTGCATATTGATACACATGCAATTACAACACACATATCTCAGCTATGGGGTTTTAATTCAATGTCGGGTCAAGCACAAGGCACACACTTGCCAAGGGCGAAGCAGTTAGCCTTGTAGGACCACTTCTTTATTCGACTCCAGAATCAATAAGTACTATTTTTTCCATTAGTAAATTGTCAAGATCACGGAAACGGACACGGTTCTGAGTCACAGAGACCCTACAGAGCACAACAGAACTGCCCGGGGGTTTCCTTCATTGTAGATCTTTAAGAGAGTGGAAAGTCTCCTATTTCTTCCATGGAGTGACTGGTGGTTTCAACTGCTGACTTTGTGGTTGGCAGTGCCAGGGTAACCCATTATGTTACCAGGACTCCATAGTAGGACAGTTGCTTTGTTTTTTTCTCATTAATGGAACATAATTTTCTTTCAAAAGGCTTTCCGTTGTATATTTGTTTGTGACAAAACAAAGTATAGTGTATGTTTTGGAAATTCATCAAATGAAATTTCCAATTAGAGGAATGATGAGAAAATAGTCTAGAGTATTAAATATCCATCTATCCAAGCCTGAACAGTTGCTATATTATAACTCAGTTCTTTTCATTTTTACCACCGTCAAAATGACAGAACACCATAATCATAGTATACATTAAGTAAGCTCCGATCCAATATTACCTCCATCAGAAACCTTGACCTGCTGCATCAGGGGGACTTCATGAACCTGAACCACTCAGGTAATTGCTGGAAATGGCAAAATCAATCTGGCCATATATTATCAAGCCAGATCATGGACGTTTGCAGAAGTCCTACAGGGTAAAGAATCCTAACCAGAACACTGACATGATGCACACAGGGTACAGGTGTGCCTTGCATGTTCACCCGTGACCGAGGGCACCCTCATGATGGGAGAGACTCAGGTGTCTACACCAGTACACCTTCAGTTATCATCTCCTAGGCCTGCCCTGATAGAGGCAAGGTGGGAGGTAAAGAGGGAGCGGCCTGATTTGATGGGAACAAATATAGAAAGCCCCGGTTTGTTTCTAAGCCTGCGTCAATGATCTTTTGTTAGGAATCTACTTATTAAAGTTGGTAGATGCCATAATAATCACTCACTGAACCACATCAGGACTGGCAATATAAAATTCTAACACTTTCCCACTCTTCTCTCCTCTCCTGTGAGCTACAAGATCTTTCCATAAACCCACTTAGGCAATAACGCAATCAACCCAGTATCATGGAACTGATGCCAAGGCTATACATCTTTATGAGAGCAGAGAGCCTCACCTCTCTCTTGAGAGGCAGCAGCGAGCCATCCCAAAGTTTACCTGACATAGTCAGTAGCTCCTCCAGGTAGTAACACATTACTTAGTGTGTATATGAAAGTTGTCTTAATCATGTAAAGTTGTGTTGTTGACTCTTGAGAGCAAAACAAATACCCTAAATTTCTCCAGTGTTTCTCACAATGTCTTAAGGTGATCAACTAATATCTCTTGATGGATAGATTTGTTATAATCGTTGTTGTCAATGGTTGAGTACAGTGAAGTGTTGAGACAAGGTACTAAAGCAACTTGTGTGGAACAAAAAGCTAGTCAACAATTGTGATTCACTTGGTTTTAGATTTGCTTCTTATCTTATTTAAATGGCACGGTTTAGATTAAAAAACCCTTTTATGTTCTACAGCCATGGTATCCCACTGTGGACGGACATTAATTAATTTTGAAGAATGATCATCACGCTATCAAAGGAGGGGTAGGAAAAAAATCAGAAAAGTATTCTCATGAACATCTTGATATGTAGACATCATATCACAGTATGATTAAATCACAGTAATTCAACCCACGTGCCACTCCATGGGAGAAAGACCACAGCATTGGAAACTCTACTGAGTCCCCTGTAAGGCCACTACGATTCAGAGCCAACTTCATGGAAATAGGTTTGCTTTGGTTTGGTTTTTGGAGGGGGCTTATAATATGTCAGCATTGCACGCTTTCTAGAAAGGCTACTCTATACTAATGGTTACCCTTCCATTTTATGTATCTTAACTTGGCAAAGAGACTTTCAGCTTCCCCAATTGTAGATGGCTGCAAAATAGCATTTTCCTTCATCCACACAAGGCAAAAAGGAAATGAGAGAAAGAAAACTTTAAGAAAGGAAAAGAAAACTGACAACAGTCAATGCAGAAACCACATCATGCAGAAAGGTATACATTTCCGAACACCTTGCCCTCTCTAAGTGCTGAAGAGGCAGAGTTGTTCTGTGCGTCTCGGAGAGAGATGCGCTCCCAGAGAAAGGACCTGGCTCGGATTTGGCACTCTCACCAAGGGAATCCTTCTGGCTATTGTTCTCTACCTCTTCATTTAGGTAATGTATGCCCCAAATCCTCCTACCCACTATCTTTACATAGAAAAATAATCAACCTGTGGAACCTCCTGGCTCTCATCTCTGGAGAGCATGTGTTTTTAAACTTGGGGGCAGGAGAGGCAAAACTTACCGCGAATGACTTAAGTATAAGGCTTGGCGATGAATGTCCTCTGGGTCTATTTCTACAGGATTTATTACAGCTAGTTGATCAATAGACCATCTAAATTTCCCTGGAGTCTTAATAAAAGAAAGTAAGCTTATGAGTAAATACAAACTAAACTAGTTCAACAAAAAACTAAGCAAAATCCCCTTCAAAACGTACGTGTAAGAGCTATTCATATGAAAATAGTTTCAAGTTGTTATCTCAAAATTGAACTTTACCCCTAAATTCAGTGGTAAATGGAAGTCACCATACCAAATCAACTTACTTGACGGAATCTCTTGGATAACATAAAAATCATCAATCTGGATTATTAAAAAAATTATACATTAACAGAAAAATCTCAATAGAGTAATAAAGGTAAAAATTAATTCTGTAACTAATATCTATCAAGGATGCAACAAATCCATGTAAAAGTAAAAACCTTTTACAGATAACAAAGGTCTTTAACTTCTACGACAGGATAAACTGAAACTTAGCAAAGTTCTAACAAAAAAAGTGGCTGCAAAAGCTCACAATCCTGAAAAGAATTACGAATGGTAACAAGGTAGCCAGGGCTGCCATGCCTTATTCCACTATCCACTGTAGTCAAAAACACCGATTGGAATCCCAATACCTAATTAGGAATTTTTTTTTTTAATATTCAGGCCTACATTCCAAGATATCATCATTTGGGGATGTGAGAATAATTTTGTAAATATTGCATTATTTATTTTTATGACAAACATGTTGCTAAAACTTTGAGTCCAACGAGAAAAAATAAGTCAATTACATACCACCAGGTCAGATTAATTTAAAGACTCAATAAAAACTGTAAAATCACCATTTTGTTGCATATTTGCTCATTGTCCAGGCGTATAGAAAAGTAACATAAACAGTCATCCAATTTGCAGTTTTTCTGTGTAACTTAACTAAGGTTAAAAGATTAGGCTTCAAAAGAATCACTCCAGTGTAGTTAACAACAATAAAAAAGGTAGTGACGAAGCCTCTCCTAAATCTCCTAAAAAGAACTTCCTGCCATATCGCGCTGGTGTTTAAACACAACACATAGCGCACTTTCTTGAAATCATTACTTCTTTCCTGTTAGAACAAGCCTTGAATTCTTTTTGTACAGCCTCCAACGTAAGAACAGTTTTGGAATTTTAGGTGATTGCGAAAACTCCAAAGGACCATTAATGCGTCATGGCAGGTAAAAGCTACATGAGATTGACAGCAGATGCCACTAAGTGAAGGTATATAGGAATCAAGTCATGTTTATCTGTGCATGCACTGTCTCTGACTGTTTTGTGGTAAAAGGTGGAGGTTGGTGGCTGCCATGGTCACCAGATGATCTGCAAAACCTAAAACCGTCTGGAGTGTAACAGATCTGCAAAACCAAAACCGTCTGGAGTGTAACAGAAATGTTCTGACCCTTGCAGTAGATGGTTTATGTAGAAGACAGGCAGGGAAATTTTCTGCCGAGGGGTCATTTGTATATTTACATGACCATCTCAGGCCATAGTGGTCCTACATTTAATTAACTCAGTCGCAGTGTGATCACTACCAAGAGCCCTGGTGGTATAATGGTTATGGGTTGGGCCAGGAGTTCGAAACCACCAGATGTTCCAGTGGAGAAAGGCAGGGCTCAAAAACTCACAGTGGCAGTTCTACTCTGTCCTATGGGGTCGCTGTGAGTTGGCATCAGTTTGATAGTAGCTTATTTGTTTTTGGTTTAATGTGATGGCTAAAACTGCTTCTCTATGGTGAGATGCTAGCTGGTATTGATGATTTCAACTGCCTTATACAGCCTCAGTCCAGGTGTTCTCTACCCCAGGAACATAAAAATCTCCACTATCTCATGGTATCTCAAGGTTTCTGGCATACACCGGCATTCAAATGTTTGCCAAATAAATGAAAAGAGACAAGTTATTTTATGATATGCATGATTACTCATACTATCTAAGTTTACTTACAGTGGTTGCAACTTTAATTTTTTTTAAAGGGGAAATGCTGGCTAAAATCATGTTTTTAGTCCAGTTATCAGATTTTAACAGTGGTTTTCAACCTTCCTAATGCTGTGACCTTTTAATATAGCTCCTCATGTTGTGATCACCCCCTAACCATAAAAATATTTTCGTTGCTACTTCATGAACTGTAATTTTAATACTGTTATGAATCGGACGATCCCTGTGAAAGGGTTGTTCGACACCCAAAGGAGTCGTGACCCACAGATTGAGAACCGCTGGAATATACTGAAAGCTGCAGCTTTAAGAAGCACATCCCAGTTGCACACAGTTCAGGGAGAAATCTCTCCCTCACCATCTACAGAGAGGTAATTCTGCATTTAAAATTCTTTGTCAGCACGAGTTGAGAAAAACTTACCGGTAATTTTGCACATTTGAAGACAGACGGACTGGAGAGAGTTTGCTCGTGGAGGTTACAATAGTCACTAGGACTTTCGAAAGGGTTTAAAACAGGGATCCTTCCTGGAGTTTCTGGTGTTATTTGCATTTTCGATTCTTTGGCATCTCCCATAGCACAGTGAAAAAGCTAAGAGGAAATCACAAGTACATACAATAAAATTACAAAACACCGGGGATATTAATTTTGAATATTAAAATGTACTCAAGAAGCCTGTAAAATGACTGAAGACACGTCTTTGAGACAACTAAATGTTACTAATAGGCACAAGTTCCGTTTCAGCAAAGGGGTTTATCATACCCATAGCTTTTTATATTCATCATTTAAAGTCTGCAAGCGTTTGAACATTGTTTGGACACTTCAACAATACTCAATCAAACTGCAGTTATTACTAAACGATCCTTTACCGGGAGCAAATAAAGATGAGGAAGCAAGGGTGCCCTTCTTCACATCACTTTGGGTCAGAAAAGACGTTAGGTGCCATCGAGTCGGTTCTGACCCATAGCGACTCATCTGTGTACAAGAGTGAAACGCTGCCTGATCCTGTGCCATCCTCAGTTGATTTGAGCCCGCGGGTACAGCCACTGTGCTAACCCCTCCTGTTCAGGGCCTTCTTTCCTTTTCGCAGCTGCCCCCCCCCC